AAAGGACTGCGGATCATCAGACTTTACTTCCAAACAAAAAAATGAAGAGAAAATTTACACATTTTTGACGGGCCGTATTAAACATATGTAAATTAACGAAGTGAGGAAGTGAGGGGGGAGAGAGAGAAGACATGAGTGAGTGAGCAGATATTGACACATTTAAACGGTTAACTTAACGGAAGTTATATATTGATATCGAAGGGGTAGAGGAGAAAAAACCCATAGAAAGAAAAGGAGAGAAAGAAGTTAAGAGAGAAGAGAAGAGAAGAGAAGATGTCACTAATTTTCTTTGTGAAAAAAAAGGCTAGAAACAGACGCTGTTATTTTGTTTTACTTTGAAAGTGTTATTTTGGGGGTTCATAAAGATTATAATGTTTGATATAAATTTGAATGTCTCTAGACTGTCTACAAATAATTTAATTTGATGTTTGTTAGTGATTTAAATTTTCAAAATTTTGGGGCTTTTCTATGAAATAGTCGATTAGAAAAATATTCATAGAAAATACAAAATTTAACTTTACTTCTATTAATCTTTTTTAAACTCTAAAAAAAAAAATATTAATTATTAAGTTGACATCTCTATCCGTTTGAATTTTGTTCATGAATTTAACTCGTGACTGTTTCTACAGGTAATCTCTTTTACTTAAATTTTAGTTATTTGCTGTGGATTTACATTGAGCTCTCTGGATTATATCCTCCTTAGGTTTACCCATACATGATTACCTAGTTTTTCATAAACTATATATATATATATATATATATATATATATATATATATATATATATATATATATATAGGTACCATAGGTAAATTTTCAGCAAATTATATTTTTAATTTTACTCATGCTCGTTGTTGTTTTTTGATTTTGTCGACTGCATAGTATTGTGGGGTCAGTTGGGCATCGTCTGTGACAGTACTATGACGCAATACACTCCGTCAGGAATATATATAAGCATATATTTGTATGACTATGTGCCATATATATATATATATATATATATATATGAAGAAAAATATACGGAAAAAAAAACAAAAATCCTAATATGCAATTATGCTGTTTATATTAATTGTATATTAGGATTTTTGTTTGTTTTTCTGTATATTTTTCTTCATACTGTCGGATTTATATCCATATATTTGCTTACACACACACACACACACACACACACACATACACATATCTATATATATATTGGCTCCTGAAATATCAATTTCAGTTGAGCTCTCTGGGGACAAGGTGTGGGTTGGTAAACAGTGACTATTATAGCTATTTCGCGAGACTCTTCGCAGATGCGAATTGAGTCACTGTCGGTCACTGTGCGTGTTTCTAAAAATAAATACGCTAAAAATCCACTTTCTCTATCGTGTGCCGACGGCTTACTGGTTAGAATCTCCGACTGACACCAATTCAGTCGGGTTTCGATCCTAGCTAGAGGCAACCGGATGTCTAGCCACACTGATGAGCTGTCTCTGTGTGGATAACGCTATATATATATATATATATATTTATATATATTGTGAGCGAGAGAAAACAGTAAGTATAGAAAACATGATGATAGCCGTCTAAAGAACAAATAGGAAAATCATTTGGTACACCCCCACCCATTTAACCTATTGGTCAGTACTAAGTTGGGCTAGAAGTTCCTCCATTTAATTTTATAAAAATTTCCCTAAAAGTAACCCTCTTAGTAAAATATTAAACAGAAGTACATTAAAACTAAGTTATAGATGCACCAATAATTGTGGGAATTTTGTTTGTTTAGAATGACCTTTTTTCCCCCAGACTCTGTTTTTATTAGTTTTCGCTAAAACTTACCGACTTATGTTCTAGTTACAACCTTTTTGGTACTTTTTTTCGTTGATGGTTTCTTAAAGGGGTTCTTAGATATGATTGAGCTGCATTTTTAATTCTGTAGTTTCATACGTATCTCATTAATTAATTAATTTGCCAGTAGATTTTAAGTAGTATTGTGCATTTATTTAAATATGTATTGTGTAATTAAACTTTAGGACACTATTTACATTATTCAAACTATTGTCCTCATCTTTGTTACCATATTTATTACATTTCGGCCGTTGTACTCTCCGGCCTTCTTCTGGTGGTTGGAACGTTGAACTGAACCCTTTATTTCGCCCACTGTTCTAGTTCCACATGCCATGTTTTAATGGATGTCAGTTATCAGTTATCTCCTGTTAATTCCCCGCTCCACTGCCTTAGCCGGGTATTGAACTCACACTCTTTTGGGTCCTGTCACTGGATCTAACAAACGCCTTTATCCACTGTGCCATGTGTCCGAATAATGTAAATAGTGTACATAATACCTCACCTCAGAAATATAGACAGATACTAAACTTTAGGACTTGAGTCAAGTTTCTAAACCTAGTAATTTCTGTGTTGCAATGAAATCACTTTTAAAAAATAATTATAATCTAAGCTCTACTTCTGTATCGAGCACTGTTTTTTTTTTTTTAAAATAGAAACATCAATACTAAAGAACTTTTGATCATTAATCTAACTGTTCGTCCTATTACATCAATCTACACACACACACACACACGTATATATATATATATATATATATATATATATATATATATATATATTAGGCCGCGATACCGGTACCCCATTAATATATAATAATGACGAATATCCACTATCTACCTGACCCTTTTTTACTTTTTATCTATCTATCTATCTATCTATCTATCTATCTATCTTCATATGTATCTATATTTCTATCTCTCTTCATAACTGCCTCTCTTCATATCTATCTATCTATCTAGCTAGCTAGCTAGCTAGCTAGCTGCCTGTCCCTGTGTGTGTGTGTGTTGGTGTCTGTGTGTTAATCCGTAAAGCAATCCAGGTGCATATTCGAGAGCTACTTTAAAGTTGTCGGCCTGATCCATCTTCCAACATCAGTTTTGAAATGACCGGACTCCAGAATACTGATTTGGCGTAGCGGCCCTCTGGAGAAATTTTTGGTTTTTTTCCGTGGCCCATTCTGCTTATATTTCTTGTTTCTATCGCTTCATCAGATTTTCATACGGCTACAATCCCGCAACCGACAACCAACGTGTCTGTCTCTGCTCAAGGCCTAGTGATTTCACGCTTCCTACCACTGTCCAAGACATTTAATCCCTATCTTGGCGAAGAACCACTCTTTCTTATTTAGCAGAGCGATAGGAAAAATCCAACCTGGTTTCCAGCTGTCTGCTATTTTTTCCAATATTTCTTCCTTTCTCATCGCAGAATTTCGACATTCGAGTCCGACTCATCGCTTCAGCAATTTGATCCCTTTGTACAGTAAAGTGATTCAAAATCTTCATTTGTTGTACGAGAAAAGAAATTGCAGAGGAGGAGAGAGTGATAGAAAGAGACAAAGTTATAGAGAGAGAGTCTGAGAGAGAGAGAGTCTTTGAGAGAGAGAGAAAGAGAGAGAGGGAGAGAAAGAGACGAAATGGTAAAGAGAGAGAGAAAGTAGGCGATTATAAGAAAGAGACGGCAATACAGAGGGACGGAGGGGCGTGAAAAAAATAATGATATGCAAAGAAAGGATGCGTAACTACAAATGGCGACACGAAGAAAAAAGAGAGCGAAGAAGAGAAAGAAAGTGAGAAAGGAAGAGAGATGAGAAGAGAAAGAAAGAGAGGGAGGAATAGAGAAAGGAAGAGAGAGAGGAGGAGAAAGAAAGAGGAAGAGAGGAAGAGTGTGAGAGGGGTTGGTATATGTAGAAGAGAAGAAAAAAGAAGAATGCAAGGAGAGAGAGAAAATGATTTGATAAAAGGCGACACAGAAGCAGCGGTAGAGACACAGATACAGAGAGGGAGAGAGAGAGAGAGGGGGAAAGAAAGAGAGAGAGGGGGAAAGAAAGAGAGAGGGGGAGAAAGAAAGAGAGAAAGAGGAGATAAAAAATGGGCAGGGTGTGTGCATTTAGAAGACAGGAAGAACGATTTCATAAAAGATGGCATAGAGGGAGCGGTAGAGAGAGAGTGAGAGAGTGTGATAGATAGATAGATAGATAGATAGATAGATAGATAGATAGATAGATAGAGAGAGAGACAGAGACAGAGAGAGAGAGACTGTAGAGATGTAAAAAAGGAAGAAAAAAAAAGAAAAGAATCTGACCAGACAGACAATGAAAATGATCCAGAAAAAGCTGATTTAAAAGAAAGACATAAAGACAGAGGCATAGAGAGAAAATAGAGAAAAGCAGACAGACTGACAGATAGATAGATAGATAGATAGATAGATAGATAGATAGATAGATAGATAGATAGATAGGAACAGACTGAGATAGATAGATAGATAGATAGGAACAGACTGAGATAGATAGATAGATAGATAGGAACAGACTGAGATAGATAGATAGATAGATAGATAGATAGATAGATAGATAGATAGATAGATAGGAACAGACTGAGATAGATAGATAGATAGATAGGAACAGACTGAGATAGATAGATAGATAGATAGATAGATAGATAGATAGATAGATAGGAACAGACTGAGATAGATAGATAGATAGATAGGAACAGACTGAGATAGATAGATAGATAGATAGATAGATAGATAGATAGATAGGAACAGACTGAGATAGATAGATAGATAGATAGATAGATAGATAGATAGATAGGAACTGACTGAGATAGATAGATAGATAGATAGATAGATAGATAGATAGATAGATAGATAGATAGATAAGAATTGCTTATATTTAGTAAAAGAAAGGAAATTAATTAAAAGACGGGACATAAATGAAAACATTACAAAAAAGAGATATAGTTAATGGTAGAGAGAGAGAGAGAGAGAGTGACATGGAGAAAAATAAAACGAGCGTGAGAGAAAGGTTTTATATGTAGAGAAGGAAAAAAGAAAGAATGAGACACTCTAGAAAATGAAAAAAAAAGAGATTTGGCAAGGACAACAGAGAAATAGAGAAGAAAGAAGAGGGAGGGAAAAGTAGAAAAGGTGACATAAAGAAAGAGAGATCTAGAGAGACTACCAGGCAGAAAAAGAGATTGAGAAGAAAGAAAAAGAGAAGAAGATAGAGAAGAATAGAAGAGAAGAGACAGGGGGGAGAGAAGAGAAGAGGATAGAAAAAAAAGAGAGAATATAAGAGAAGTGATTAGAATAAAAGAGAAGAGAAGAGAAGAGAGGAGAAGAGAGAGAAGACATTAGAATAGATGAAGATAGGAGAGAAGTGAAGAGAGAGAAGGGAATAGAAAAGAAAGGCTGATAAGACTGAGTGGCAGAATCAAGGCAGAGAAAGAGTCTACAACAGAGAGTTGAATATCGACGTGAGAAAGATAAAAATGCCATTCAACGAAAAAGGTTACTGAGTGCGAAGTAAAGATTCGTCTTTATAAAGAAAAAAGTGATTGGATTTATACGTTGAAAACGAAAATAAAAAAACAAAGAAACAATGTGATAAGATTGGCTACGAAAAAAAAGAAAAAAAAAAGATTTAGCAAAGACGAAATAAAGGAAGGGGAAAAGCCTTACTTTGAAACATTTTGTTCCATTCTTCTTCGCATATGTTCTTCAGATCCGGGATGTTAGTTGGAGCTCTCGACTGGATTTTCAAATAACGCTACAGATTCTCGATAGTGTTTAAATCTGAGGACTGACTTGGCCATTTCAGGATATTTACATTATTTTCAGCAAGTCAGAGATTTTGTAATTCATAGATTTTGTAATGTGCTTAGGATCATTATCTTGTAAGATCCAATCAGGAAGAAGTTTAAGATTTTCAACCGAAATCATTAAATTTGCTTCCAAAATATTTACATATGCTGCGGCATTCGTTTTAGCATCTATTACTGATATGTTGCCAGTACCTTTTGCATAAAAAAAAACATTCCCAAACCATGATGCTGCTTCTAGTATGTTTCATTGTTGGAAATGTGTTTTTTGTTTGAAGAAATCGCAATGTTTTCTCCATACATGATTTCTCGAATTATCTCCAAGCAACTTTGGTTTCGTCTATCGGTGATACTCTTTCCCAATACGATTTTTCCTTATCCTTATGCTCACGAAAGAATTTCAACCTGCCATCTCTGTGACTTTTCAGTAACAGTGGAATTTTCCGAGGGGAGAGTGACTAGATTGTTCCTATTGTCCGTTTAGTGACACAGATTCCTGCTGAAAGCAAATCATCCTGCAACCCTTGACAAGCAACCGTTTGATTTTGTTTAATTTGACGCATTAATTTCCTCGAAGATCACGAAAAAATCGTTCGTGGAGTTCCTGTTTTTCTTTGGTTTTCAACAGTTTTGAGTTTTTATACCTTGTAATGAATGAACTAATAGTAGTAAATCGAACATTCCTGTTGTCTGAGATTTTGTTTACGATCACCGATGTTAAGCAACGTATTGTTTATTCAGATCCATCAATTCATAATGGCGAATGGCCGTCTGGCTTTGGATTCTTCTTTTTACGAACATATGACAGACTGTTTTTCTCTCGGCAGGTCGCTTATAGTCATCGACTAAAAATAACGTTTAAACTAATAAAATCCATCGGATTAATAAATGGAAATTTATCATTTCTTCTCTGAGTTTCATACACGAGTTCGTGACATTCGCATACGCGCAGATATCCTTGGAAATGTCCGGTTCTATCTCCTCCGTCCTGGGTATGACGATTAACTACATCTGGCATCAAGGACTCTGTTTGGGAGGTTTTGAGGAGCGTGGAAGAACCTCTTAATTGACGTTGTTCCAGGTACACCCTTACCTGTGGTTGTAGCACCTGTTAGGGACCCAGCTATGGGCAAATAGAAAACTCCTAAACTCGGATTAAAACATGAAACTATAAAAATAGATAAGAAATAATGACCAACAATACATTTTTGGGTAAAAATTACCAATGCTCACAAGAGAATTATATTTCGTAATTAAATGATGCATATTCTGTTAATTTGTCTTCTCTTCCCATTTATGATTGACAATTTTCAATTAAGAAATGGTGATTTTCAATCAGCACCTGACGATTGCATCGTGCATGAAAATAAGAATTGTGCTAACGGTGAGGAAAAACATGCTTATTTATTATTAACACACACACACATACATACATACATTAATACATCATTCTTATTATAAAACCTAGGTTGTGTGTGTGTGTGTGTGTGTGTGTGTGTCTGTTCGTTTATATATTGGATCGGATTTCCTACATTTTTCAACCGATTTCAACAAAACTTCACAGGACTACGTAAAATTACATTGCGGTGGTTCTGACAGCATCAAAAATTGGAAAAACACAGTTGTTTTTGCACGAAATCAATTTGAAAACATGATTCTGTCGCCAGAATGAAAGGGGGACAACTCATATCAAGTTATACTTATTATAAAAACCAGGTTGTGAGTCTGTGTTCGTTTATATATGTGATCGGATTTCCTACATTTTTCAACCGATTTCAACAAAACTTCACTTTTTTTTTTGGCAGGTAGTGTTTCTTATTGTCTTGCACACTTTTTTCTTTATTTTTACATTCAGAATGCTTTAAAAATTCCATTTACAAGACAATTGTTTATAATAAAATTCTATTCAATCGGTAGACTCATAACGATTGAAAACAATGTTTTTGTTTGAGTTTGGGTTTGACCAATTCGTAAAAAAACAAAAACAAAAGCTAATTAAGACATGCGTGTCCATCAACCTTAAACAATAATCTTTGTCAATTTTATTTTTCAGTCTTTATGATGGTCGATACTTGATCTATCTCTTACTGTTACATCCCCAGGCATCACTGGGCTCTACTGCTAGTACACACACACACACACACACACACACACACACACACATATATATATATATATATATATATATATATATATATATATATATATATATATATATAGGGGGAAAACAAATATTCGTACACATACAAATTTTTAATTTATTGTATTTCCAACTAAGGAATAAACATACTTTTCATAGAATTAACTACACAAATGCATGAAAACAAAATATACATAGAAATTAGAAAAAAAAACAGATTGATTCAATAGAAATAAACCTCAATTAAGCATTTTAATGGGTGAAAAAAAGTATTCGTACAATACAAAAAAAAATGCGTAATCTTCATTCAATTCTTTGTAGAATAGCCATTATTCACTTCTACAGCAACCAACCTCTTGTAGTTCTCAATTAATGATTTGCACATTTTAGTTGGTATTTTGTTCCATTGTTCTTCGGATATGGTCTTCATATCCAGGATGTTTTTTCAAGCTCTCGATTGGATTTGAATTTTCAAATAACGCCACAGATTCTCGATTGTGTTTAAATCTGGGGACTTACTTGGCAATTTCAGGATATTTACATTATTTTCAGCAAGTCATAGATTTTGTATTTCATAGATTTTGTAATGTGACTTAGGATCATTATCTTGTTGGAAGATCCAGTTAGGAGGAAGTTCAAGATTTTCAACCGAAATCATTAAATTTGCTTCCAAAATATTTATATATGCTGCGGCATTCATTCTACCATCTATTACTGATATGTTGCCAGTACCTTTTGCATAAAAAAAAATTCCCAAACCATGATGCTGCTTCCAGTATGTTCCACTGTTGAAACTGTGTTTTTTGTTTGAAGAAATCGCAATGTTTTCTCCATACATGATTTCTAGAATTATGTCCAAACAACTTTGCTTTCGTCTATCGATGATACTCTTTTCCAATACGATTTTTCCTTATCCTTATGCTCACGAAAGAATTTCAACCTGCCATCTCTGTGACTTTTCAGTAACAGTGAAGTTTTCCAAGGGGAGAGCGAATTTACACTCTTCCTATGAATTTCATTGCTTATTGTCCGTTTTGTGACACAGATTCCTGCTGAAACAAATCATCCTGCAACTCTTAATTTTGTTTAATTTGACGCATTAATTTCCTCGAAGATCACGAAGAAAACTTCCGTGGAGCACCTGTTTTTCTTTGGTTTTCAACAGTTTTGCTTTTTTATTCCTTGTAAGGAATGAACTAATGGTAGTAAATGGAATATTCCTGTTGTCTGAGATTTTCCTGCAACTTTTACCTTATTTCCAGAGCTTCAGTTCTTTTTCGTAATTTGTCAATTCTTTACCTCTTGACATGATGAAAACCTTCTTGCACGAATGTCAATTACAAAATGTTCTCTTTGTATTTTTATGCTACTGATAACATTATTGGAACATTCTAGAATATTCCACTTGAATAATCTAGAGTATTAAAGCAATTACAAGTCTTAAAATGTGAAATCTTCATTATACGAATACTTTTTAACCCATTAAAATGAGTATCTACGATTTATTTCTATTAAATCAATCTTTTTCTGTTTTCTATGCATATTTAGTTATTATGCATCTGTGTACAGATAATTGTATGAAAAGTCTATTCATTAGTTGGAAATACAATAAATTAAAAATTTGTATGTGTACGTATATTTGTTCTCCCTTCCAATATATATATATATATATATATATATATATATATATATATATGTGTGTGTGTGGAGAGGGAGAGAGAGAGTGAGAGAGAGAGAGAGAACGAGAGAGAAAACTGTATAAATAGACGAACAGATAGATAGATAGATAGATAGATAGATAGATAGATAGATTACCTTGGATTCTACACTTTAGGCCTTTCGTCTTTGGTTTCAGCAACAAGTAGGCTTTTTTTGTTGCTCACTCAAGCAACAGCCTTTTTGTTCGCTTTAGAAGTTGTTGTTCTCCTCGATTGATTACCAACCAAGGCTAGAGGGCCCAGTCTGTCCTGCTATGGGAAGAGATAGGCTTTTAATTTACGAATTGTGCAAAAACGAACAGGACTACTTTGGCTGGTATTTGAACTCGCTACGCCGAAATCCCTCTTTACTCGCTGATAACTAACGGTGCTACGCCTATACCCTCTCACGTAAAAAAGTTGTAATAATCGTAAATAATTCCAGCATAATAAATTGGTGCCAAAATAAAATAAAAGAGATCGAAGGAAATATAAAATTGTCACGGGACAGAAAAAGAACATTTAAACGGAATGAAATCTTTTAAAGAGAGAAAAAATGCCCTAAAAGAAAAATACTTTTGTATTTCTCTTTCTTTTCAAAGGACATTTTCATGAAAAGAAATTTTTTTTTTCATTTTTTTATAGATAGATAGATAGATAGATAGATATGAAAGAAAATAGTTATGAAGAGAGATAGGTGGAGAGATAGAGATATATGAAGAGAGATAGATAGATACATGGAATAATAGATAGAGTGATAGATAGAGAGATAGATATGAAAGGAGATAGTTATGCAGAGAGATAGATGGAGAGATAGAGATATATGAAGAGAGATAGATAGATAGAATAATAGATAGCTTGATAGATAGAGATAGCTAAAAAGAAAAAAGTGTGAGGTAGATAGATATATTCCTCATTATTATATATTAATGAGGTACCGTATCGCGACCTGATATATATAAATATATATATATATATATATATATATATATATATATATATTTTTAAATTATAATAGTCGACTCTCCCGTCGAGATTCGACGTATGAGGGTCAAGCAGATCAGTTTCCAGGAAACTGACCCCCCGACACCGGCACATGAGATTTGATTATAGTGGTGAAGGTTTTGTGCAGGACCATCCACACTTTTTGAAGGGAGGAATACAGAGACCTGGTGCACCGAATGCCACAAGGTCCCCAAACGACCCTCCGCAGGTTTTGAATTCAGAGTTGTCCTTCTCCTAGACTAGTTGCCATCCAAGTCTATAGAACCCAGTCTGTCCTGCTATTTTACCCATAGCTGGAGGGAGAAGAAGAGGATTCATACCTTTCCCAAGGGTATTAGCACGTAAGTGAATGTAATGGATTCGACTGGAATTCGAAGTCTGCGATTCCTCAGTCCAAGCCGCTATCCATTACTCCACCGTGCCTCCTATATACATTATAAATTATAATATATATATATAAATATATATAAATGTATATATACATTTAAATTATTTGCTCTGGATTTACATTGAGCTTTCTGGATTTTATCCTCCTTAGGTTTACCCCTACGGATTACCTAGTTTTTCATAAACTATATATATATATATATATATATATATATATATATGAACATTGAAGTCAACAGTCAGGCCTCTAAGTGTTGACTTCAATGTTCACTTTATATTTACATACGCTCTATCTCTGATATTGAGCACTTTATCCCATAAATATAGCACACCTTAAGACTATATTTTCTTCATATATATATATATATATATATATATATATATATATATATATATATGTGTGTGTGTGTGTGTGTGTGTGTGTGTATGTATGTATATATATATATATGTGTGTGTGTCTCTGTGTGTATTGATGTAATAGGAAAGAACAGTTAGATTAATGATCCAAAGTTCTTTAGTATTTATGTTTTTCATTTTTTAAAAAGCAGTGCTCGATACAGAAGAAGAGCTTAAATTATAACTATTCTTTTAAAAATATTCTTCCATGGCGATACAGCAATTCCTGTTTCGCAACTTGTCTCAAGTCATAAAGTTTAATTCCACAATATCATGTATAAGTAATTACACAATACCTTGTAAAATCTACCGGCAAATTAAAAAAAAAAATCAATCGAATAAATATATTACAAGTGTAGGCACTTGGGTCTTCAATACCCCAGGCCAATTGTAAAATGTGAAAACAAATTTCCCACCTCAAACCTATAAATTTTAATAAGATAATTACATATCGTTATATTAGAATTTCGTGTGTCGTTCACAGATCTTAGCTCTCTAGACGATTACTTCGTTTACAGAGTAACAGCTCTGGATTCTTCTGCCATATAAAACGATCGGAATTATTTCATTATTCATCCATCTTTGAATTCCCAGATGGCTCCAAACCCAGAGTCTGGAAGTGATGAGTCTGGAGCAATGCGGTCATTGAAAGTTGATGGCTATAATCCCTGCCTGCCTGTACTACTCGGTGTTGTTGTTCGACTGCGGAGAAGGGTTTTCTCAGAGTACCTTATTAAAGGCGAAACATGGCAAGCCTCTCGCTGTTCTATCGCTATTAACATGGATGATTTTCAAACGGGTTACATTCCTTAGTTCCATCAACTCGACCTGCTTCTTCCCACGAACCGTTACAGTGTGGAACCGGCTCCCAAGGGGATGCTTCCCTGACCTATATGATCTTAATTTGTTCAAGTCTAGCGTTAACCGTTATCTTCCCAACACATTCCCATTAACTGCGCATCTTACCTCTTACTCTGTAGCCCTCTACAACGAGTGGCTCTTGCGCCCTATACAATATGAACATTATTGTAAAATATTTCTATCCCTCACATCTAAGACCCTCCTCTGAAGCGAACCATCCTCATTCTTTTGTGTTCCTTTTGTAAGAAGTATGTACAATTCTAATAGCTTCTTCACACTGCTACTTTGTGAAACCGACTCCCAAGAGGTTGCTTCCCCGATCACTACATATTAAACTGCTCAAATCTAGGGTTAATCATTATCTTCCCCATATACACCCATAAAATGTTCCTCTTACCTCATACTTTGTATCCCTCTACCTTGAGTGGCTCTTGGGACTTGTATATAGTGAAAATTATTGTAAAAACAACTCACAGCTAAGTCCCATCACGCCGTGGACAGTGAGGCGATCCACTCTCATTCCTCTCGATTTCCATTAGTAAGGAGTAAGTTCCATCGAACAGCTTTTTTCCATAAATCCCGTGGAACCGACACCCAAGAGGATGCTTTCCCGACCAATACAATCTTAACCTATTCAAATCTTACATTATCCGTTATCTTTCTTACATATCCTCATAAACTGCGGCCCTTACCTCTTACCTTTATGGTTCACACAATCTCCTTCAGTTACCTTCTACCTTGACCGGCTCTTGGGACACATATAGGGTGAATATATTTAAATAAAGTCGTCCGAGTTCGTTAAGTATACTTCGCACAAATACACTAGTGCATAAAAAAGATCTGAGAACTTTCGTAATGCATTCATCAGGAAATTTTCAGATGACTCAACGGTCTGGAGTTTATAACATTTTGAGTACAAACAGTCGGTTGGTGTAATCGCTTCCTGTATTTCACCTTTGTTATTTCTCAGCAGTGAAGAGTCTGATAATGGGAGACCTGAAAAATTGTCGCGATTTACTATGTTTATTGCATAGAGGCAGTAATGAAAAATTTCATTAAATAGAAACTAATTTTTGCATTAAAAACTTAACTGATTATGGAAGAGAATTATAATTTGATTTATAATATAAGCTTATGAGACATATTCATGACTTGCGGGATTTCTTTACAAGAGAAATAGAGGATAAAAAATGATTTTCATAGAATTTGTTTCCTTGCAGCTTACAGGGCCCTTTGTGTATCATATGCGAATAGGGAGATAGATATTCTTTCTTCATATGTAAATAAGCAAATAGGAGATTATATATATTTAATCGTTATCTACTTTGAAAAATCTTCTTTCTTTTTTTAAATTGAGCATGAACGTAGACCCCATAACATTATCATTTACTTTCGCACTGATACCCTGTCATTTGGAAGTTTTTGAAAACTTCCTTTAAAGGGGGTGTCTTCCCGCTGTTCTTTTTCTACAGATATTTTTATGGTAATACTTCTGTTGCGCTTTGTTCGCAGGTGCCTCGCCTACGTGAATTTATGCATGCTACGAGATTGCTAAGTAAATTTCACCGTCTTACAGTTGAAATAGTTAAATGCAACCGCCACTTCTATTCCAAGAGTTTCTTTTCTCGCACTCATTATCTGTGGAACTCCCTTCCTATTTCTGCTGTATATATAAAGATTCTTGAAAAAAAAAATCAAAGAATGATCTATAATATAATCGATCCTCATCTGGCATCTCGACTTCAGTTATTTTCTCATTGACGGACCGTGGCTACTCTCTGTCTTTTCTACAAATATTTTAATGGCAATTGTTGTGATAGTTTTCTTTTGTTTATAGTGATGGGCTGCATGAATTTAAGCGTGCTACTATATTGGCAACTAGGGCTCACATTTTTACTGTTGAATAGCTAGGTGCAATCTAATGTTTTATTATAATAGTTTCTTTTTTCTCACTTCTCACCTGTGGATCACCCTTCCTATTTCTTGCTTTCCCGCCAACTACAATCTTCAAACATTTAAAAGCAACGTCAAGAGCCATATTCTGTCTTCTAGAGCCCTGCTTCTTTTTTGTCATTTCCTTACTTCTCAGAAAAGGTTACTGAATGAGGAATAACCAAAACGGAGGTTGGAAATGAAATGGCAATCTTTATAACATCAACAAAATACAATACTCGCCAGCGGCATGAAGTAGGTAAACCACTGCTAGTTGTGGACTACTTAGACACCATATTACCCTCACTTACAATAGTGTCCAACGTATTTATGAGGATTGGGACATACCGATTAGTGTTCACATATGCGGTATATGGCACTATCTATCTATCTATCTATCTATCTATCTATCTATCTATCTATCTATTATGGTCATTATCTATCTATCTATCTAAGCTTGTTCATTATCTATCTATCTATCTATCTCATTATCTCTATCTATCTATCTATCTATCTATCTATCTATCTATCTATCTGTTTTAACCTAGAAAGGGTTACTGAATGAGGAAAAATCAAAACGGAGGTTGAAAGTGAAATGGTAATCTTTATAACATCAACAAAATACAATACTCGCCAGCGGCGTGAAGTAGGTAAACCACTGCTAGACACCATATTACCCCCAATTACAATAGTGGTCAACGTATTTATGAGGATTGGGACATACCCATTAGTCTTTTATAGTTACGGTATATAACACTTCTCCTCACTATAAACTTCTCATTGTCTTTTACTCCCTGCAAACCCTGCGTCTTAGTGGCATTATCACCTTGTTTGGGGCGAAAAAAAGTCTCAAAATCAGAATAAATCTTTAGTATTTATTTCTGCATCAGAAAGAGCATTAAATAATTTTAAAATTCTCATTCTTCGCCTACTGCAAGGGAAGTTGCTTCGCTGTTTTGTGCCAGAAAATCTTTGTCAACAGGATCCATCTTGTACATTTATAAACCTACCATTCGTCCATACATGGAATACTGCTGCCATATCTGGTCTGGTGTTTCTGATGTACATCTTGATATTCTTGAAAAAATCCAAAGAAGGATCTCTAGTGTAATCTATCCTGATCAGGCATCTCAACTTCAGTCGTTTTATAACAGATGTTACGTAGCTTTACCCTGTCTTTTCTACAAATATTTTCATGGCAACTGACGAGATTTTTTTTACACTGGTGTCCCGAATACATGAATTTAAGCGTGCTACTAGATTGGAAACTAGGTCCCACCTAGTTTGCTGTAGAAATAGCGAAATGCAATCGCTACTTCTACTCCAACAGATTCTTTTCTCGCGCTACACTGACCTGATGTGTCTTCTTTCTGTCTTTTTTACAGATATTTTCATGGCTACTGCTCTGACAAGCTTTTTTTTCTCTTAGTGACTACATGAATTTTAGCGTGCTACAAAAATCTCACCGTTTTAATGTTGAACCATCAATTTTATTATAATTGTTTATTTCCACGCCCCTTTTCAACTATAGAACATCCTTCCGATTTCTTGCTTCGTTACAAGCTACAATCTTCAAAATTTAAATGCAATGTCAATCGCCATCTTCTATTTAACTGAACCCTGTTACTTTATTGTCCTTTTCCTCACTAAATTTTTCTCATTCTCATTCACTCCCTGTAATCCCCCCCACGTCATAGTGGCATTATCACCATGCTTGGGGTGAAACGATTTAAAAAATGTCATTTATTAGTGTGTGTGTGTGTGTGTGTGTGTGTGTGTGTGTGTGTGTGTGTATCTATCTATCTATCTATCTATCTATCTATCTATCTATCTATCTATCTTGTTCATCTTTTGTCTTAACCTCAATCCTCCCTATTCCCAGTCTTCTCTTTCACTCCATGTAACCTCCTCCTGCATACTAGCCATTAAATATACCATTTAAGATGAATTTATGATGATAAATCTATGACACATCCATGCATTTAATATTGTTGCCATATCTGGTTTGGTGCTCCTGCTGTACATCTTGAGATTCATGAGAAAATCCAAAGAATTATCTGAAGTGTAATTGATCCTGAACTGGAATCTTGACTTCAGTCACTTTCACACCGATCTGACATGGTATTATTCTGTCTTTTCTACAAGTATTCCTACATGTCAACTCCTCTGACAAGCTTTTTTTTTTCTCAGTGACTGACTACATGAATTTTAGCGTGCTACTAAATTGGCAACTTGATCTCACTGTTTTAATGTTGAACGAGCTAAACTCAACCATCAGTTTTATTATAATCATTTATTTCCTGGCCTTTCTCAACTATAGAACTGATTTCTTGCTTTGATACTAGCTACAATCTTCAAAAAATTAAATGCAATGTCAATCGCCATCTTCGGTTTAGCTGTTTTAACCGTTTCGTTGACTGAGCAGCCTATACTACTCGAGGTAAGCTTTTCGTCACATGCTGGACATTGGGCAGGGATCAAAGTGTAGTATTTGTTCTCGCCGACTCTAATAGTGATATTACCCGTTTTATTAGACGACTCGTTTTTCGTCACTCCCTTGATAATGGGTAAGGATCAAAGTGTAGTATCTATTTTCCTCGTTTCTAATGGTACCTGTTTCTTTATGCGACATTCGTTGACTGAACAGCAGTACAACTCAAGTTAATCTTTTCACCATTCCTTCTTAAACTACCTGAAAATCATATTAAGGATTAATCCAAGATTGAATTTCGAAAAGAGAGAGAGAACAGTTCAGAGGCCGTCCATAGTTGTGCTGGCACGAATTCACAAGTCATCGTGACCGAGGGTTTTAGCGTACTTGCTTTTTTGAAATGTACTAATCGGGCTAGATAATGAGTTCTATCGCAGAGACTCAATGCCCGCTCAGCATTGTTGCAAGATAAACGACAAATCCGCTCAGAGCTTTTGCAAGATAAACCACAAATGCGCCCAGAATTATTGCAAGATAAACCGCAAATCCGCTCTGCATTGTTGCAAGGTAAACCACGAGTGAACTCTCTAGGGATTGATCAACCATAAATATGCCTGAGAAGGTGACTGCCACAGGGAATAGATAGTCACCCTAGCAGACCGAAAAAGTGAGACTGGCTATTATTTTTTTTATTGTATTTAGAAGAATCCCATAATGCATTGGTCTGTTTATTAAGTAACAAAAGCAAAATAGTCGTGAAAGACGAGGAAATTAATAAAAGAGAACGTAACAAAAAAGAAAGAAAGAAAAACAAAAAAACCTTACAAGGCATGGCTGAAAAGAAATTATCAAGAGAATTTCTACTAGCTAAAAAAAGGTTGGACCCAAATTGAGCATTTTAATAGCTATCTTCTAGCCTAAGTTCTATTTATGGTCTGTTGTGAAAGCGAAAGTGAAAGTAGAAAGAGTAAATAAAAGAATAAAATCATTGTTGTGCGAAAGGTCAGCAGAAGGTGCGACACTTTTATTGTGTCGGTTGTCTGATAAAAATAACGGAAGTTCGTATCGGAAAATGATGAATTGATATTGAAAGGTTTGATACGGTAAGACGAGTGGGGTTTTCTTTTTAGATGCAATATGTTTGTTGATTGAATAAAAGCATAAAAAAGGAAATAGTGTCAAAGATTTGGCCAAGAAGATTTGTTCTGTGCAGACTATGGTTAATTGTGACAGCACCGGAATAAAGAAATATGCCCCGATTAAGCGGAGCGCATATAAACAATTTAAAACTTTGCATGCACAGTTTTTGGAAAAAGTTGACGTATATATATATATATATATATATATATATATATATATATATATATATATATATATATATATAGTCGGCCTCCTGTCGAGATTCGACGTATGAGGGTCGGGCAGATCAGTTTCCAGGAAACCGACAGCCCGACACCGGCACATGAGATTTGATTATAGTGGTGAAGGCTTCAATAGGACCATCCAACCCCTTTTGAAGGGCCGAATACAGGGACCTGGTGCATCGAGTGCCACAAGGTTTCCCAAAACGGCCTCCACAGGTTTTTGAATTCAGAGTTGTCCTTCTCTAGACCAGTTGCCATCCAAGGCTATAGAACCCAGTCTGTCCTGCTATTTTACCCATAGCTGGAGGGAGAGGATTCATACCTTCCCAAGGTATTAGCACGTAAGTGAATGTAATGGATTCGACTGGAATTGAACTCGACTCTGCGATTCCTCAATCCATTACTTCACTGTGCCTATATATATATATATATATATATATATATATATATATATTTGTCTTTAGAGGACATTAGGAGCGTTTAGCTTTTAAATAATTACATTGAAGCTGATTGTTGTTTTTTTTTTAATACTAACTGAAAATTTGAAAAGGGCTTATTTTTAATTAGTGAATCTATTATTACGCTTTATATTTGTGGGGGATTGATAGTAAGAAGGTGGTAGAGGGAACGAATTTCAACAGGTCAACCAGCTGCCGATTATCCCCACGTGAGGACCCTTTCTTCCTCTGCTAAAGCTAGAGCTCGCCAGGGAATCTGGAAGAGGAAATCATCTTCCTTTCTCTGCTGCTAGAACAGTAGTCACTGTTTTGGCGCGTCTTTCGGTCTTATATTAAAACACAAAGACAATCCACCTCCTGACAGGATCCTGCGCCAACGGAATCGAAAACACCTTCACTCAGTTCGGTAGGAGTTAGCATTTTTATCTAGCCTATGCATTCTGTTAAGTAAGGCCGGTGTGTCCCGTCTACTTTGCAATTTAACACATATCTATTGCTTAACGAAGTAAAAAAAAATGATTTTTTTTAGCAAATAAATGAACACAACGTACGAATTGTAAATCAGAGGTACCAAAACCAAACAAGTTGTTATGGTCCGGTTCCTTGTACCACGTTGATAGTCCAAGGTAGAACCAATAAAAAAAGAACTCGAACACGGATATGGAATAACACAGATATATTACAAACAGGAATATATACAGAGAAGTAGAAAAGTGTTAGTACGAACAATCAGGTTTAGTAGTAATGGTCTGAACGTGACTCTGACTCGACTGACTGACTCGCTTTGACTGACTGACAGACTTCTGACGGACCTCACTCCAGACTTCAGACTGAACAGTATTTAGTCACCCCCCCCAAGAGTGGCACCGGTGTAACGTGGGATCTCCTCGCCCGTGGGCTCGGCCAAAAATATGCCCTTTGAACACGTATAAACGGGTTCAGGGTCGGTTTACCTTCCCGAAAGAGACTCCGCCCTTCGACGTAGCCTCGTTCGTGTTCCTCCCCGCCCGAAGGCAGAGAGTTCAGCCGATGAACTCCCTGCTTCCTCTTGAGGCGCAGTATTTATTGCGTATGGAATAGTCTATTATGTTATAATGGTAAGGTCCCATAACACAAGTACATACATTTAAATATCTGGGAAGTATTTGCAAACCGGACGGAAAGTGTGACAAAGACGCACTGGGATCGCGAAAGATGCTTACCAAAAGCTAAGCAGAAAACTAAGAAATAGGAAAATTTCGCTAGAAACAAGGAAAAGAGTACTAAACTGCTATGTGATATCTGTCCTTCTGTATGACAATGAATGATGGACGTTCTTCTTAAAGATGAAGAAAAGACTTGAAGCAACAGAAATTTGTTTCTACAGAACATGTGATCAACGAAGTTTTGGAGAAAATGGAAAACAAAAAGGAAAACTAATACTTAATATCAGGAAGAGACAGTTGAGGTTTCCGGAGCACATAATGCGGACGGAAGGCTTGGAAAATTTGATACTCACAAGGCAGATAAAGTGCAAATGAGACAGCTGGAAACAGCACATAACATCCTTAATGAGCCTGAGTATATTGATAGCAGAACAGGAGATATAAGAGAAAGACAAAGTTTATTAAGACCTAGAAGGCACAGGAAGTTGTAGAGAGCCATGATTACCCACGTTCTTTAGGGACACAGCACATAACGAAGAAGAAAAGTTGTTTTTTTTTCGTTTTATTGATTTAATAACTTTCAGAATAGGTGTAATGTTTAAAACTCATAGAGATGTGACGAAAAACTCGAGAAATATTTACTTCAGGAAATTTTTCTCCCCGGAATCGATCCTTCAGATCTACAAATCAACAATTCGCCCTTTGCATGGAGCATTGCTGCCATTATATGGTCGGAGCCCTCCTTGTTTTTTGGGTTCTGATAGGCCCCAGAGGCGGATATGTTTTTTAATTGGCCCCTACTCTAGCATCCCGTCTACAGTCACCACAGACGCGCCGTCGCCCCTCTCTGTCTTTTTTTTTACAAATACTTTCATGGTAATTGCCCAAGGAGCTGCATTCGCTGGTTCCCAGACTTCATGAATTCAAGCACCTTACGAGGCTGGCATCTGCCTCACCCTTTCACCGTCGAAACTACTAAATGTAGCCGTCTCTTCTACTCCAATAGCTTCCATGTCTCGCACCCTCGCCTATGGAACTCCCTTCCTATTCCAGTTTCCTGAGAGCTATAATCTCCAACTATTCAAATGTAATGTCAATCGACATCTCCAGTTGCCTTGATCTATCCACTATCCTTCTCCTCATCCTTTCCTCTATCACTCCCATATCTGATCTTGTTCCAAATCTTCTGTAAATTCCTTGCGTTCTAGTGGCTTCCCGCCTTGCTTGGGGTGAAACGCTTAAAAAAAAAAACAACTTATAGAGGCAAGTATAAATACATACGATATTTATATATATAATCCCGTATAAACGCAACCAACATTTAGTTATAGACGTAAATAGGAACGCAGCCAAATTTTATAGAATCAAGTATCAATCCAAACGATATTTTCTGAAACGAGCGGGTAAAACACATCCAATGATTGCCTATAGATTCAAACAAGCCTTAATCTACTGAATTGCTGCGATCCTTAAAATACGTGGTGATTTGAGAATAAGCCCGATCAATATCAACTTATAGAGTCAAGTATGAACACAACTAAGGTTTATCTATAGACTCAAGTACAAACACATCCTATGGTGGCTTAGAGATTCAAGTATAAACAAAACTGTGCTTGACTACAGCCCCAAGAATAAACACAAAAAAGGCTTGCTTCGAGATTCAAGTATAAACGCAGCCAATGCTTGATGAGAGACTCAAATATAAACACATCCATACATTCAAGTATAAACACATCCAATGCCTGCTTAGAGATTCAAGTATAAAAATCCAATGCTGGCTTACAGATTAAAATGTAAACACATCCAATGCTTGCTTAGAGATTCAAGTCTAAACACATCCAATCCTTGCTTAGAGATTCAAATATAAACACACCCAAAGTTTGTTTAGAGATTCAAGTATAAACACATCCAATGCTTGCTTAGAGCTTCAAGTATAAACGCATCCAATGCTTGCTTAAAACTCAAATATAAACACATCCAATGCTTGCTTAGAGTTTCAAGAATAAACGCATCCAATGCTTGCTTAGGGACTCAAATATAAATGCAACCAATGCTTGCTTAGAAATTCAAGTATAAACACATCCAATTCTTGCTTAGAGACACCAATATAAACACATCCAATGCTTGCTTAGAGACTCAAGTATACACCAACCAATGTTTGCCTATAGAAACGAATCAATTATAAACGACTAAGTTT